CCAAAAGAAAATAGAGGAATAAAAAAAAAGACAGTGTATTGGGTGATATCTGGTGATCTAAAAAGATAAGTATGATAGGTCTCCAAAGAGGAAGGGAAGAAAACTTGAAAACATTAACTACTTACAATATGGTATCAGATAACCTTTCCCCCTTTTCTTCTTTGGGGAAATCCAAATTGCATTACAATGTTTCTTTAAAATTCCTTTATTAAAAAGTCCCTTGTGCTTGCTCAAAGCAAATGGCATCCTAGAAAACCAGGGCCAATATTATGTCTCATTAAGTGGTGGCTACTTTATATTAGATTTTTTAAAAAGGCAACACACGTGGAGGAAAAGGTGGTTATAAAAAACATCACAGGAAACCAAATAGCCTTTATTTAAATTAAAAGCAATCACAGCCTGACTCTTGGAGCACACTTAGAAATGCTTTTTGGCATGCAGCTGCTACATGCCACCAATATTGTGTGTAACTGGAAACATTTCAAACAGAACTGTTACCAAAGTCAAAGACCATAATTGTGAGCTGGGGGATCAGCGCCTCAGATAAAAGGGGCAGCTGAGCTGCACAGTCCATGCACTGGGCTGCATCTCACTGCAGTCTCCACGCGGCATTACTGGCAAATCTGTCTTCCCAGAAAGAAGGACACAGACAGAAGTTGGTGGGTGTTATAGATCAGGAACTGAGAGAAAGCTCTGAGAAGGGAGTCTATGACTTCAGTACCAGAACAACTGAAATAACACAGGCCTGACTTTTTTCCTGGAGTGTAATCCACTAGAAATGACAGGCATCTCTCCCGAGAAAGCCTACCCCAAATCCACCAGTGGGAAAACGCAACTGCAGTGTAATGGGTCAGTTGATCTTTAGGATCACTTTGGACCAAACCTAGGAGCAGGGAGTTTAGCAAAGGTAAATGACAGCTGCTTGCTTGTTTACCACTCTAACTTTTTAAATGTCTACACTGGCATCTGCACTTTAACTTTTATTTTATTTTATCGAGACAGAGTCTCACTTTGTAGTACAGGCCTGCCTTGAGCTCACTATGTAGCGTAGGCTGGCCTTGAATGCAAGTGATCTTCCTGCCTCAGCCTCCTGAGTGTTGAGACTACAGGCAGGCACCACCACGCCTGGTTTTTATTTTCATTTTAAATGTAAAAGCTCTTCATAGAAAGACAAACCTGACACAGCCTAATCAGTTCATGCTGGGCAATCATTCTTGTTCCTGGAGAGAGCCCTCTAAAAGTGACCCAAATGCATTTAGCGTTCAGTCTCAAGATGTGAACAAACCAGAGACAAGGGAAGAATGATCCCATTCTCTCTGAGAGGTCTGATCCCAGTAGACAGAGACTCAGGAGCGGCTCTCGAAAAATCGTGTCACTCTGGCACAAGGAAAGGGATCTGATCATCCTGTCTTGTCTCTGCGCCAGGAGGGTCATGACACCAGCATGGCCCGACAACCGTAAAGTGTGTCTCTCCTCAGCAGCCCTGCATCAGGAAAGAGGGTGAAGAGCAAAGGCTGGTGCCCACGCTACTCCCGTTGCTCCGAGACACTTGGCCGCAGTCCCTCAGTAAGCAAGGGGGGCACTTGCCAGTTACAGGGCGCAGAGCTTGGCCAGCAGTGGGGAAGCCCAGGTCCCCTGTGCCACCTGGGTCCTTGGCACTGGGCGTGAAACCTGGCGCCGTAGGCTGCCCAGGATTTCGAGGAACTGCAACAATGCAGTACTCAGCCCGGGAGGCTTGCTTTTCTCTCCCAGTGCTCCTGCTCCCACTGACCTTCTAAAGACAAGTCCAACACCACACAGAAACAACACTAGTGGTACCTTGGATTCTAACCAGCCCAGAACACAGCTCGTGCACTTGCCCAACTGCTTCTCTTTACTGTGGAACAACTGCACATGGACAAGCAATTCTTAATACTCTCACACTAATAAAAGTTAAACACTGATGTTATTTCACAAAATGTGAAGAAAACAGGGCATTTTTCTGAGGAGGAAGAGTCTGTCTTGGTCAAGTGACATCTTTAACATTTCTGTCCACATGTAACAATCAGTTTGACTTTTCAAATTACTTTCCTTATTTTCGTTTGCTTCTTAATTTTTAATTAAAATTTTATGTTTGCAGTACTGGCGAGTAAACTCAGCCCCTCTAAGTGAGTGCTCTAGTGCTGACCTACATCCCCAGCCTTTTGTATTTTATTTTGAGACAGGGTCTCATTAAGTTGTTCAGGCTGGGTTTGAACTTGCAATCTTCCTGCCTCAGCCTCCTGATAGTTGGGATCACAGGACTACACCACCACACTAGTTTACTTCCCTTCTTTAAAAGGAAAAATTTACTCTTTGTAAACCGCATTAACCAGGAAATTACTGGGTGTGATTAGAATGCAAGTAAATGATCATCTTTTTAATGCTATCTTTACTATAAATTGTTTCCCCTAATGTTAGACAATCCCAAATATAGGTATAGATCATTTCAGACAGTTATTTAATTCCTGGAAAATAAGCTTTACAGATCCTTATTCCGGCTCATGAACACCGTAAATAGTCACTCACAGTACTGACCTCCCTGCAGTTTGCTTTCAAATAATTATAGGTTTTAGAGAAATTATGATACTTTAAAAACTTCCATGTTGGCTTACTTTAGAAAATCCTTAACGAAGCTACAAATTTAGCTTTTCTGGTCTTTTCAGAGTTATCCTAGGAGAAACTATTAGGAACAACTCTGCAACAGTTCAGCTGTTGACCCTACAAGAGCTCTTTTTCTTCCTGCTCACACTAATACCTTCTGGCCTGCTGGCTCATGGCAGGCCCTTTTACCTCCAGGACAAATGGTGGTCCCAGAGCCTTGGTTATAGAACATAACGGACTTTTCAAGCATCATTGTTGTTACTAGCAGAACTGGTCCAACTTGTCTCTTTAATGAAATATGTCACTTTTCTTTAAAAAAAAAAATCTATGGACCAACAGGCTCACTCAGTGGTAACTAGCACCAAGGTAAGGGTGGAAACATTAATTCACTAAACCCTGGAGCACATCAACCCATCTACCTCTCTTCCTTCCCTCCTTCCTCCTTCCCTGTCCTTTTGGCATCAATGCTATTTCTAAGTATGAATCTCGGTCAGTCATAAGTCAGCAAGTGCACTGCCCCCCAGCTGTGGGCAGCGCCCACCTAACTCTCAGTCCGAAAATGTGGAGCACATGCATTGCTAACCTTTAAAGCCTTTGTATAAACAATTCTGGAAGAGCCTGTCAAGCATCTCCTTCCATGGCTCCTGACTCGCCAGTTGATGGTATTTTGAGACCCTCTGGTACCAGCAGGTGCTGTATTTTGCTTTCTCCAGGCCCCAGCTGGCCACAATGACAGATTCCTGTCCCAGACCAAGCCCAGCCACCTAAGCTAGGACCACACTGGAGGCAAAATGAACCAGGCTCCACCAGACAGCGAGATAAACGGCTGCTGTTTAAGTTTAAAATCCCCTGGTGGGAGTAAATATTGCTCCTGAGAAAAAGGCTTGATAAATACTGCGTCACTGGTACAGAGCTGTCTTGTTTAAAACAGAATTTTCAGATTAAGTTGGTGCCCAATTAAAAAAGTATCTATCTTGATGTCATGAGATTTTTTTTTTCTTCTTTTGAGCTTGAAAACAGACATATTGTTGGGGATGGTCAAACAAGGCTGCCACCTTAGGAGGGGCTGAGGTCCTATTCTCGCTAACAGAGCTCTGGCTGAGGTTGAACGCTGACACTTCACGGAGAAGCATGGAGACAGAAAAGGCTTAGTGGGAAAGAGCCAGTTGTCACCTAAGTGACAGGCAACAGCTGAGCTCACACATCTGGAGCCCAGCGAGGGCAAACATGAGCAACCCTCACCGTCTACACCTTGGGCCACTCTGAAGAGACAGATACAAGTCCCTTTTATTTCAAAAGTACATGTAAAAACATCTGATGGCGAACTGTGTCAATTATATAACATCGTCTGCAGACACAGGCTTCCCAAGTGCTGATTAAACCGAGGCAGCAGACAAAACTGGATGCAGGCACAGATATAAAGATGCAGTTGCATGAAGTACAATTTGTCCTTTATAGAACCTACCCGAAAAAACAGATTCACGCAACCATTTTCCAGCACAAACGCATCTGGACTCTGTGGGAGGGGCAAGGTCTTTGCCGGTCTCTTCCTGTAGGCCGGCTCCTGACAGGGGCTCTTCACCTCGGTAAGGCCGCAGTTTTGCCTCTGCTACTCTTTAAAACCAGCAAACGTGCTCGGCTTGTGACTGGATCCCTCCTCGCCTGGGACTCAGGGTGGTGCCCGCCTCCCTTCCGGACCCCCGCCCCCCCTTTCTTCAGCCTTCTGAAAACAATCTGTGGACAATTTCCCCAAAGTACCCCAAATAGCATAGCACTGCCAATAGTCACCGGTGATGCCATTTGTTTTTTTCTTAGAGGGCAATGAAAATTTAACAGCTTTCTGTTGCATCCTGAGTCCCCCTCCTGCTAATTATTAACATGCCTGGTTCCCTCAACTTTTTTTCTGCCTAAAGGGAGGAAGATGTTCCCCTCCCATTCTTCCCCCCTGGTACGTGCAGCTTCTCGAAAACACCCTCGCCGAGGCGAGGCGGAGGGGGGTCTGCTGCACTGATGTCAAAAAGCGATCGGCAGGGTCCAGGCGGTCAGGAGAGCAAGGACCCTCTTCCGCACGCCCGGAGGTGACAGGCGACCCTTGGCGGCGGGGGCCAGCGACGCGCCCTGGCCTCTGGCCTCCCGGCCGCAGCGCCGGCGTCGCCCGCGGTGTCCGCACAGGGAGTCTGGGCGCCGGGCGCGCTGCGGCGGGGGGCGCGAGTGCTGCAGCCCCGAGCTTGCGTCCACGCTCCGCACAGCCAGCACAGCTCCCGCCCTGCTCCCCCTTCCAGCCGCGGCACCCCAGGGTGGGTGTCACGGCCCCGCGGTGACAGGAGGGCCCGGCCCCGCGCGCCCCCAGCCGTCTCCGCAGCGCCGGCTCCACTCACCGGCCGGGGGCGCGGACTCGGCGGTGCGGTCCTCTCGGGGCTGCGGTGCGCGGTGCGCGGCGGCGTCAGCGTCGGTGGCGGGCGAGGCTGCGGCCCGCGGAGCACGGGCGTCCCCGAGGTGCTCGCCGTCCCGGTCCCGGGGCTGCCGGGTGCGCGGGCTGCAGTGTGAGTGAGGCGCTCGGCTCCGGCCCCGCACACCCCGCCCTCGCCGCCGCGGCCGGGCGCGAGCTAAAACGCGGAGCAGTCGCCGCCGCGGACCGGGCCCCGTGCGCGCCCACGTCCTCTGCGGCTACGCAGGGAAGGACCCGATCGCGTTTCCTCTGCCCAGCCCGACTTTATGCACCCCCCCGCCCCCCAGCCCACAGTCCTGATGGATGACACGGGAAGGGTGAAGGGGCAAAAGACAAACTCAATTTCCTCTGATCAAACAGTCTGGGGATGCTCAGGAGGGTCCTTTTCCTTTGGTGTGGGTGTGTGGGGGGCATTTAATTAACCTTTGCCGACCCTGCCGGCTTGCGTCGCCCCCGGGGACCCACGTGGACTCGATCTTGTCTCGCGTGGTGCAGAGGAGGTCAGAGCCTCTGCCTGGGGACCACAGAGCCGTATTTCCGAGCAAGAAGCCCCCCATTCGGCCTGTATGCCAAAAAGGCTCTGCTCTTCTCAGAGAAAACTCAGCGTGGGGAATGCAGGGGGCCCTCAGCCCACCCCGCGTCCGACCCTGACCTGGGTCTGCCCGGGCACTGAACGCCGTGTTCAGAGGTTCATTCCGATCGAGGATCTTTGGCCCGGCCGGATGACTCTCCATGTTTTCATGATGCCCATTCCTGGGGCTGGGCTCTGGGCGCCCTCTCCCACTTTGAGCAGGGACCCAGCCTGTTTGAAAGTTCCGCCTTGACGTTTGGGTCACCTTAAAACCCCCGAAGCCCCCTGCCCGCTCCGGGTCGGTGGGGTCTCACTGGGGGGCGGTGGGGGTGTGCTGTTTCCCGGGGCAGTTCCAGACGGCAGCTGGAAACCCCAATTTGACAGGTGTCCGTCAAGCTGGAGTGGACTAGTCTCTTCCCCGGCCCTGTTGGGTACCGAGAGGGTGAGGGTGTGTGTGTGTGTGTGTGTGTGTGTGTGTGTGTGTGTGTGTGTGTGTGTGTGTGTAGGCTGAAGGGTAGTGTTGATCGAAGCAAATTTTATCCCTTTCATAAAAATTAAGACTCCCATTTTTAGAAGTTTTCGGAGCAGTAAGTCTCTTCAATTTTCCCTGGGAATAAAGCAAAGGAATGCTCAGCAAAAATGGTGCCGGTAAGAATGACTTGGGGACAGTAACAACATCTAAAGGCAAATGCAAGGGAGAAGGGTGCAGAGCCAGACAAGCTTGGCCTGGGCTGTGTGCTCTGTAATTCCAAGACTGACTCAGACCTCCACACACTAGATAAACTCTCTAGATACCCAGGCAGGATAGATCGCTCAGGAAAGGGCTGCTCTTTTGAAATAACTTGCTTTGTTAGCACTGTTTGCAGCTGATGGGAATCTGGGGTGGAGCAACCTGGGTTGTCCTGTTCCCCTGCATTTTATTAGAGTTGGCCTTTTAAGTTGTGTCTGTTTGTCTTGCCAGGGACACAGATACTTCTGTTAAGCTATAAACTTGTAGCTTTTACCCAACCTCCAGAACTGGCCAAGAAAACTGACCAAATGATTTATTCCATTCACCAAGGTAATGAAGATTAGTACTTTTGAGGGCAGAGAGTCCACTCTGTTGATGAGCATCTTTGGGTGCCTGTTTTCTCACTCAGAATGTCCAGATGTTTCCTAACAACTGTTTCCCAACGAACAGTGTGATGGAATAGAATCGAGGGAGGATAACTCCCACAGACTCCGCTTCATGAGAAAGTCCTGGAAACTCATGGAAAGGATATTTATACAGACTGCCTTGGGGACCCCCCATTAATGGGGGAAACCCTACATGTGTAGGGTAAGCAATGAGTCGGTTATTGGAGGACTTAACAGCTCTGTACTGACTTCAGGAAGGTTTTGGTTAGTAAACATCTATTATGTTGAGCAAGCGTGTTAGGCATGTTAGGTGACACAGCTGTTCCCTTAAGAAGCTCATTGCCTCTTTAGGTAGGGTGCTGGAGGCATCTTTCGGACCCAGTGCAAATATGAACACGGGGTCTTCAGTCTGAACTGTCACAAAATTACTCAGGCGTTACACATGGGTCAGAGGGCCGAGCAGATTTTATATCTTAGCCCCATCATTCACAGAGTGGAACCTCGAATATTAGCCTGGCTGACGCTTACTTTCTTATTTGCAAATGAGGATACTGACATTCAACTCAGAGAACAGTTGAACAGGAGAATTGGATGCCCCAAGGCAGGAAAAGCTCAATGGTTGAAAGGCCATAGAATGCTATTTTATACTGCATCTTCTGATAACCACTCTTCTCTATATTGGCCTCTCTACAAAATCCCACGGATCTGAAAAAGAAGTGCTTTTAATTTAATCAAAGACTCCTCTTTGTCTTTCCAAATAAACACCACACCTTTTATCAGTTAGTCAATTCACTTAGGGAAATGCCTGCTTTCCTTTTAAACGCTGTGTGTTGAATTGTGTCCTCCAAATTTTTATGTGTTGAAATCCTTATCTCCAGCACCCCAGCATGTAATCTTATTTTGAGATAGGGTCTTTATAGAAATGATCAAATTTAACTGAGGTCACTGTGCTGTGCCTCCATGCTATGTGACTGTTGTCTTCATAAAAAGGAGGAATCTGAGCCAGATATGGTAGCACACACCTATAATCTCAGCACTATGGGAGGCTGGAGCAGGAGATGGCAAATTTGAGCCCAGCCTGGGCAACTCAGTATCTTAGGGAGAAGCTGTTTGGTTCTCAGGCCTGACTGACTCCTAGAATTTGCTTGGTCCCTGTTACCTGTGTCTCTCAGTCCTCCATATCTGGGACTCTTTTCCTTGACTTGCAGCCTTGGGCTCATCCAGCATTTACAGAATCAGTCTTGACCCTGAAGCCATCAGCCAGGGTTTAGCTGTGAGGCAAGCTCTGTGCTGAAATTCTACATAGGCCTCTTGGGGCTTACAGGACAAAGTGTATGCACCTTGGATCAGTTTCAAAGGTCCTTCATGTTTGCACTCTGCCTATCTCTGTAGCTGATTTTCCTATTGCTCCACACCCTTGTTTGCTCTGACCAAATTACACTATTTACAGTTCTTCAACAGTGTGAAGCTATTTTATGCTTCTGTTCTTTGAACATACCTAGAAAGTTCCCCACTGACAACTGCCCTCTTTATTAGCTAATTCTCGCTCACCCTTTAACATTCAAAAGCATCCCGTTGTCTGTAGTACAAGCGTATTTGTTGTTCTGTCGGCCCAGGATGTTTCTCCTGGGTCATGGCGCCAATTTCCTGCAGGGATCTGCCCTCCCCGCTGTCTGTCTGTGCACACAGTTTAGCTGGAAACTCAACCTTAGTTTTAGGGTTAGGATGGTGTGATTCAGACCTGAGTAATTAGGGCACTGGATCCCCCTGATCAAAGATTAGTTCAGAGATGGGCATTTGGCTGTCAGGGCTGGGGATTTGTGTGGGAGCTTTCAGGAATCCAACAACAGAAAATGAAACAAATATTCATTTTTATTTATTAAAAATTTATTTTAAATTTATGTACTGGCTACCCCTTTGCTGGGAATGTAGCAGCAAATCACAGTCTCTCTGACTATGGGTTTCATACTCATAGGCAAGAGATGTTCTCTTGTTCTTCTGTAAACAACACAAAGGTCTTTACATTGAGCCATCTTTGCAACCCTGGAATGAAACCAACTTGATCATAGTGTATGATATTTGGAAAAAACAAGCAAACAACCAACCACAAAAGTCTCTACTCCAGCAGCCATTCTGCCACCCCAAGAAGCCTGAGCATGAAGATGCGTAAGGTGGATAGAAGTGACAGATGAAGAAACATCAGGACCTGATACATGATTTGAGCCCCTGGATCAAACCCTACCTGAAAACAAACTACCACTGAACTTTTCAGGTTAAATTAAAATTTTGTTGTTGGTGGAGCCAGTTGAGGGTTTAAGCAGCTGGCAAATTAAAGAGTACTAACTTCCTTCCACCAATTAGATGCTACTTTTCTCAGTACAACTTTCCACTTCTCTACCACTTCATTTATTTATTTGATTAGTTATAGCTGGCCTTACCCCCTCCCCCATTAAATTCACTTACAGCTTTGCAACTAGACCATATAGTAAGTAAAGATAGCTTGAACATTGGTATGAAAGATGAAAAACAGAAATAAGACAAATTCCTAAAGCTCATCCCATGAAGGGTGGGACACTATTTAGCTTTCAGAGTTTTATTGGCCAGTGTGGTGTAGGTTATATACTTCTTTTACAATTGAAAAGGTAGTGAAGGTAATAGTCCAGTTCTTAGCATAAGTACAACTATTGCTATATTAAAGAACAGAGCAGCACACACACCCAAGTCCTTACAAAGAACTCCAGAGAAATGATGAGTAGTGTCTTCAACAGTGTCCTTACAGAGTACACAATGATAGGTTTCATGAGGCCATTTTTCAGAGCATCACTCAATGAGATTCATTTTTTCAGAAGGAGTGATTTAATCATTTTGCTCTGTGACCAGTGCTCCTCAGAGTACAGGACAATTATGATCAAAGGAGTGGTCCAGAGAGCTCTACAGTGCATGGGAGGGACTGACCACACAGTTGCTGGGGACAGAGAGACAGCTGGGGAGGATGTGCTGGAAGGAGAGGCAGCTGGAACGTGAGCTGACCTAGGGAAAGATTTGCAAGTGCGCGCGCGCGCGCGTGTGTGTGTGTGTACGTGTACGTGTGTCCAGGCATTTTAGGGTCCTCACAAATAAGGGGAAGGAGGCGACTGCAAATAAGTGAGTGTAAGGAATTAAAGCTTGTCAAGTCTGGCTGCTGTTGGGTGCAGGGGAGACTGGAGTTGGGAGAGACTCAGGTGAACCTGGGGAGGCTCTCAGAGACTGAGTCATGAAAGAGCTTAAAAGCAGGACCAAGTCTGGTGGGGAAAGGTGAGGAGTTCAGTTTTGGTGACAAAGCATCAACTTCAAAACTGACTGAGAAGAAACCAATGACAGCAAGGAGTCTGGAAGAAAGTGGTGTGAATGCATACAGAA